TAACAGCACTCGTAACTGAAATGATCTGGAGCCGATCTGAAGTCAATGCGTATCGAATGACCTGAATGACTGCAAAGCGTAAGTGCTATGGCGTCCTTGCATGCAGCCCGAATCAACAACACCAGCCATGTAATGTCATGACAGTGGCGAGATAGCAATGTTCCTTTCGGCACGTTCACCAGACAAGAAATTGCCCTCGACTTCAACCATCAAAGGGACTGTTTGCATCCTGACTCCAGCCATATGGTCTTCAACCAGCTTTGCCTCGTTAAATGCATTTGGGTTGCAGCATAAAGCGTGGGCAATGTACAGTGGAAAATTGCCGACGACATATTTGGCGTAAGAAGTGATATTTGTTTAGCTCCAAAGGTGCATTCGAATATCAAAAGTCTAAATATGCGTTTTGCTCTATGTTTAACAGCTGCACGTACTGTGTTTTAAATTTTAAGCGAACGTGATGTAAGGTGCAAAGAATAAACAATACGATAAATTCTCGCTCGTTGCTGCGATACATGATGCATCACTTTGATGCACACAACCTCTGGATATTCGCTTTTACTATCAATGAAACTGGCCCCGTTTTAGGCAACTGCTAGTATAAGATGAATGCATCAAGCTTAACCATTTTGGTGACGGGGCATGTGCGCTATGATGGTGTGCTGTTGTGAATCATGATTGGTCACTCTCCATCTGAACATCGTCGTAGCGCTTTGTCTCGCCACCTGACATCATTACGTCACATGGTATGTTGTGACGTCACTCCAGGCTGGCTGACGAGCGGCGCGTGGAACGGAAACGGTCTATGGCGCTAAAAAAGCGGTGCAAGTTCCTCGAGGCGCAGTTCAAGATACAGGTGGGTGTCTCCGACAGCCTCTGTCGTAAAGTGACTCGGATCAAACTGTCACCAGGTCAGCATTCCGGTGAAGTCAGTAAGGTACAAGGATACTTTGGGTCGGTTATCAATAAGCAATGGCTATGGTGATGAACGGTTATCAATAAGCAAGTAAATGGTTGTGATGGTTATCATAGTTATGGTTATGGTCATGGTTACCAAAAAGCAGGTAAACTCTTGCGAAGGCGGTGTGACCTTGAATGAAGTGTGGCTGTCGTATATACGGGCAAACTGTTGAACTGACCGCGAATCATGACACATAAGGTGAAAGCGTCAAATCACCTGCCAGTGATGTTGAAAACCAATTTGAATACCGTGACAGGTTTGCATCATTGCATGGGAGAAATGGGACGTCCCAAGAACGTGACACAAATTGTGCAGAGACTGACTTCTAGCACGTGAGGAGTCAGGAAGAAGACAAAAGTATCCAAGTAGGAGGCGGCGAAATCGTTTTGTAGCCGACATTTTGCTACCATTACAATGAATGTGTATGACGTTACGCACACCTGGACTTCATGATAGGTGGACTCAGAATTGATTGCCGCGTCGGCCATCTTTCCGTTGAGTTGAGGGAAATCGTTTTACCTTTGTAATTTCACTGAAACTCGGACTGGATTTGAGTCAACGAACCGCAGTTTCAGGTCTAAGTCAAGTCAACAAATTGGTTGTTCAGTTTGCATGATAATGTTGGCACAGAGATGTCTGAATGGTTAGGGAGCTGAAAGAGAATGTTCCACAGTTGAAGATGCTAAAGCAAGCGTCACATATGATGAGGTATGCTCACTTATAACTATTGGTGTACTTTTGAGAGAAAGAGGTTGCTGTAGACAACACGAGTTCCATTTTCAGTAAATATGTTCCATGGTGCGTTATTGTTCGATTGTGCCATGTGGCGTTTGCATGACGTTAAGATATTGTCAAACTAGCCGTGCGAAAATTTCACTTATTTGTGGTACTTCCTCGTCGAGGGATAGCAGCACGGGCTGGAAGTGTTTGCTGAGCCAAACATTGTCACATGTTCATATCTTGGCCCTCTGTCCTGATTTTCTTGTTTGTTTATTCGCGGATGTAATATGTT